GATAGACTGGGACTTTGACTTGTCTCTTCATCTCGCCACAACCCGGGAGGTCCAAATGTCACCCTTTATACAGATGAGAAAACTGATTCCAAGAGGTGAAACAGCCTGCCCAGGGCTGCTCAGCTGGGAAAAGGCAGAACAGGGATCCGAGGAAGGGCCTGGAGCTGCTCTTCCCCTCCCTTCCCCCACCTCCAACACGTGCCCCGTGCCTGCCAGGGGCTGGCTGCGGCCCTTTCTCCCCCATGCCCTAACTGCTGGGATCCGGCCATGACCACGGTGCCTGGGGAGGACTGCCAACGCCCCGTGGTCCGGGTCCAGGTGGGCTCTCACTCTGGCCTCACTACAACTTGTTGAGTGGCCTTGAGTGTGTCCCTGCCACTGCTGCGGGCCTCTACTTATCTATCTGAAATGTAAGGTCTCTGCAGGCCCTCCCAGCCCTCTCTGCAGTGTGTCCCCCGCCGGCCCGGCTGCGGTATGCAAGACCAGGGCCGGCGCCTTGCCACCCGCTCAGTTAGGCAGATGTGGGGGAAATGGCAGCCGTCACAGGCTGCTTTGGACGCAGTGGGGCTGGGGCTGTGCTTCGGCTTCCCAAAGAGCTGCCAGCAGCTGTCCAGTGCTGTCAGCTCCCAGGGCCGAGGGTTCCTGGAAGGAAGCGCTGTACCTTCCTTCCCCCCCAGGACCCGGCCCTGGGTCAGGTGGTCAGGTTTGGGCCTGGAGTGGCGGCGGGAACTCCCGGGATATATGTTCCAGACACGATGCAGCTTCGCTTTTAATAATTAACAGCGGTAAATATTGATTTACACAGCCACTTCCAGGCCCGAGCGCTTCCGGGCACCCACTGAAATGCAGCCAGAGAAACATCCCTTCCCACACTGCCTCTGGGGGAGGCGAGATCTGCTCGCAGCACAGGAGGTATCTGTGTGCCTGGTGGGCGGAGAGAGGTGTGCACGGGTGTGTGTGTGTGTGTGACTCCAAGACAGGAAGTGGCTGTGTATATGGGAATGCCTAGGTATGTGTGTGTGTGTGTGTGTGTGCATCTCGTGCTTATGCACATGTGTAGGTTCGTGAATGTGTCTACACAGATGTGGGTAGGTGGGGCCTGGGTGGGGGTGCAGATTTCTGAACCCAGAGTGGAAACGCCCTGTGGGTGTGGGTCGGAGGGCCCCAGTGGCTCAGGGTCTGGACAAAGGTGGTTTCCCAAAGTGCAAGGGACAGCCCATCTGGGTGCTCCTTGCAGCCCTGGTGCTGACAACAGTTCAGCTTCCTAACTTACTTCCAAAGCAGTTTGTGACCACCGCCACGGGCAAGCTGGCAAGGTGGGTAGGGGAGGAATTGCCGTCTTTGTGTTACTGATGGGGAAACTGAGGCCTGGAGAGGGCAGAGACTTGCCAGTCGGCCCAGGAAGGAAGAGGGTCACTCGCCCCTCAGACTGGCTGGGGGAGGGGAATGCAGTTTGCGTCCCAGGCCTGGGCTCCCTCAGGCCACCGCTGGCTCACTGGGAACCCAGATGAGTCAGCCCTGTGTTCCTGTGCACAGACACAGACTGTGTCTTGATCCCGGAGTGGGAGTGGGTTAGGAGCTGCCCGAGCTGTGCTGGCACAAACAGAGGCTTCGAGGCAGAGCCGCCCCCAGGCTGTCTGAGCGGCAATGGGCTGCTCCACTCTCCATTTCCTGACAGGAAGACTGAGGTCCCGGGAGAGGAAGCTGTGGTCTGAGGGCACACAGCCCCTGGGAGCACCCAGGGATGCTTTGTGGGAGGGAGAGGGCCTGGAGCCTCATTCACAGACTTGCTGCTCCAGTGAGCAGCTGCTACAAGTGGCATCCTTCCTGCAGGCCCCGGGACGCACAGGGCCCAGCCTTGAACTACTGCAGGCAAGGAAGGCAGGAAAAGGTCTCAGGAGTCCCCTCCTGCTGCCGCCAGCAGCCCCACGTGGGAACTCCTTGGAGGTGGTGGTCCCACATGTGGACATCATTCCCTGGTCATTGCCCTCCTGGCCCTGGAAAGGTGCCTGGCCCTGGTTCTAGGCCAGAGCTCTGAGGGGAGAGCCTGGTAGGTCCTGCTTCTGCTATGTCCTGGCTGTGTGACCTTGGGAAACCCCTTCTCCTCTGTGAGTATCCAGGTCCTCATCTGGAGAGTGCCTGCCACCCAGATGAGAGGACCAAGAGACATGACCGAACCGCAAAGTAGGGTCTGGCGCTGTGGTGTAGCGGGTTAAGCCAGCACCTGCGACATGGGGGATCCCATATGGTCACCGGTTCAAGTCCTGGCTGCTCCACATCTGATCCAGCTCCCTACTAATGCATCTGGGAAAGCAGAGGAAGATGGCCAAAGTCCTTAGGCCCCTGCTACTCATGTGGGAGACCCAGATGAAGCTCCAAGTTCCTGGTTTCGACCTGGCCCAATCACAGCCGTTGTGGCTATTTGGGGAATGAACCAGCAGATGAAAGATCTCTCTCTCCTTCTCTCTGTAACTTTGCCTTTCAAATAAATAAATAAATCTTAAAAAAAAAAAAAAAAAGAAGAAAAGAAATTGCAAAGTGTACTACAAAAGCGAGTATGGGTTACAAGGATCAGAAGACCAGGCCCCTGGCCAGACAACTCCATCCATCTTGGCCTCATTGTAGTCAGCCTGTGTGCCTCTGGGCAAGCGAGCTGACCTCTTTGGGCCTCACTTTTCCCATCTGCAAAATGAGACTAAAAATAGCAGTCACCGCACAGTGCTCAGAGCAGGCGAGGGACCGAGCCACTGCTTGGAAAGCACCAAGTACTCACCTGGCACGTGGCAAATCTCAATAAATTTGAAGTCTCACGGAAAATGTGTATTATGAAAAACTACCCGTGGAGTTCCAGAATGTTTTGTACCAAAATGAACTCACTTTTTAATCCTCTCCTTCCACAAACCTTTGGAAGCACCTTGCACTAGCACTCATGACCTGTACCTGACGCTCTGCATAAGCTGCTCGGTTCTTTCTCTCTTCTCTTCGGCTCCCCAGGGCAGGCTCGGGGCAGACTGACTTCCGGTCTTGGCCCCCAGCACAGGGTTTGGCACGGGGCAGGTGCTGGGCAAACACTTGATTCTGGTGATTACAGCCTTGTCCTCAGGGCTCTGACTTCCTGCCAGGTCTTGGGTCTGGATTGCTTTATTGGCCCTTTTCCTATGCCATCCTCATACCTGACTGACAGGTGAGGGGACGGAGGGTGGTGGTGAGTGTGCAGATGACCATCAGCTGCATGGCCAGTTTATCACCAGCTGCTTAGCTTAGGGTAGCCCCAAGTCCGGCGCCCAGCAGGTCCCCAGACCCTGGCTCAACCCCTCAGGGCCACCCAGGTGTCGCAGCGGCACCCCCATGGCATTTGCCTGAACATTCCGCCTTGCAGGCATCTCCCAGCCCTAGGGGAGGCCCCAGGTCAGGATGGTGGCAGGGCTGGGCCAGGGGGTCGCTTACCTTAGGGTAGGGTGAAGCGGCTGGCAAGGGAGCCAAGTCCCCCTGTGATAGGCCTAGTGCCTGAGGGAAGCGCTGGTTCTGTCCATCACTCTTCCTGGAAAAGAAAAAGAGTCTGAGGTCAGAGGGGGCCCCAAGGTGGGTGATTCGGGAACTCTGGGAGGAAGGTCACATCAGAGCTGGGCATGCGAGGGGACAATCTCCATGGAGGAGGGGGTCCTGGGTTCCCCGGGGTAGGGGGAGGGGGAGCTTCCTGAGCAAGGGCTGCCAGAGTGGGTCTCCTTCCCAGAGCGGGGGCAGGGTCTCTCTCCGTATCTCAGTTGAAAGGTAGAGAAAGAGACAGAGATCTCCCCTCCATTGGTTCATTCCCCGAGTGCCTGCAACAGCAGCGCTGGGCCAGGCCAATGCCAAGTTCTGGGAACTCAGTCTGGGTCTCCCACGTGGGTGGCAGGGACCCAAGTTCTTGGATCATCACCTGCTGCCTCCCAGGGTGCACATTAGCAGGAATCTGGATTGGAAGCTGAGTCTGGGCTCGAACCTAGGAACTGAGATACGGGATGTGGACATCCCACGCAGCAGACGAAACACTGCACCAAACGCCGGCCCCCACTGCGATCATTCACAACAGAAACAACAGCTGACGCTTCTCCGGCTGGCTCCGTGCCAGGCCCTGCGCTGAGCCTCTTTCCAGGCCCGAGGGCACGTGCTCCTCACCACACTGGCATTCACTTTATGGACGAGGACCTGTTACACACAGAAGCCCCACAGCTGGTCAGCAGCCAGCAGCCGCGCGAGATCTGTGTGACTGCACACCCACGCCCCTCCCTGGGGAAGGCAGGCAGGTCTGGTGAGGGTGAAGTCAGCGCTGTCAGCCCAAGGTCAGGCCACCTCGAGGGTCAGGCGGAGCCAGTGCCTGGTGGAGCCTGGGATTGGGAGCCCAGGGCCAGGCGAGCAAGCCCGGCTTCTGGCCGCTGCCAAGGGCCACCCTGACATAGGCTAGTCCCACGAGGGTGAGTCACCCTGCAGGAGATCCTCAGTGGCCCGTGGTGGTGGCAGCGGGCTTGAGTCAGGTGGAGCTGGGACCGCCACACCCCACGATGGGAAGGACTCAGGAGGGGGAGTGTGAGGAAGTTCTGAGCGCCCCCTTCTTCCTGCCTCTGGCCCAGAGGAACCACCCACAGCCCTGCTTCAGCCCCAAAGACCTCGCCTCCTCCCAGGGGCGCTGGAATCCTAACAGAGGGTCCATGCTGGGAAGTGCTTGACCCCAAAGGATGACTCCTCTCAGCCTCAGTTTCCCCAAAAAATCCACCACAGAGCCTGGGCAGCTTGGAGGCGTTCACTCAGAGAACACTTCCAGGTTCATGCACTCCTGGTGAACGCTACCTCCCGGTCAGGGTCCCCTTAAACATCTGCCGAACGAATGAGTGAACCAAGAGTGGCAGCAGGGAGTCACTGAAGGTTTGTGCGCGAGGGCCTGTCTCAGCACAGCTGCCTGCAGATTGCAAGGTGCACCAAGGAGGGGCGAGGGGACTAGACCAGCCCGTGGACACGTCCACGCCGATTCCACCGCGGCTCCCATGGGGACTCTTTGTTGAGACCTACTGTATGCTGGAGCTTGTCACAGTGCTAGGAGATTCATTTTATTTATTCCCGTTCTTACAGAGAAAGAGGCTCAGAGAGCTGAAGCCACTTCCCCAAGCAAGCGGGTGACTCAGCTGGAATTGAAAGCTCAGGTCTGGGACACTGGCATCCCACAAGGGCGCTGGTTCCTATCTCAGCTGCTCCACTTCTGATCCAGCTCCCTGCTAATGGCCTGGGAAAGCAGCAGAAGATGGCCCAAGTGCTTGGGCCCCTGCACCCATGTGGGAGACCCGGAAGAAGCTCCTGGCTCCTGGCTTCATCCTGGCCCAATGCTGGTTATTGTGGCCCTCTGGAGGGTGAACCAGCAGATGGAAGAGTGATTCATTCTCTCTCTCTCTCTCTCTCTCTCTCTCTCTCTCTCTCTCCCCCCTCTCTTTCTAACTCTGACTTTCAAGTAAATAAATAATTTAAAAGGAAAGAAAGCAATGTCATGCCCTTGACCTAGTAGGGACAGTGTCTGTGGGGTACTGGGGACCAAAAAGTCCCAGGTTGAGGCACACATAGAGCAGGGCCTTGGCCACTGTCTCGGCCAGACTGGCTGCCCAGGCGGCTCTTGCCCACGATTGCCATGATAGGACAATGACTACTGCAGGTCGGCTGGCAGCAGCTCCCTACCACACTCACCTCCCAGAATTCCCTCAGCCTCAATGTCCCCATGTCCATGTCACTCAAGACTGTGCACACTGGGACAGGACTAGGGAGGCCTCACAAGGCAGGGGGTGGGGGTGGGGGTGCAGAGGGGTTGGCATCCATCCAGGACACTGACCCAGTACCCCAAGCACTCCACTTCCTGTTGGCCAGAGCCTTGCCTCCACCTACAAAGCCAGGGCTGAGGGGCTGCAGGGCAGGGGAAGCCAAGAAACTGGAGGCTGCAGGCCCTGGACAGGCACAAGGACAGTGAGGACAACAGCGAGCCCCCCTGTCCCTGGCAGGACCTTGTTTAATGGCCACAGCTCTCCAGCAAGGCTGGTGCACAGAAGCCACAGCCTTCCACACGACGAAACAGAGGCTCACCAAGGTCTGCTCTCTCATCCAAGGTCACCCAGTCCACGAGGCAGAGCTGCGATCTGAACTCGCACTGGCCGACCCCAGAGCCATGACGGGAACTTCCTGCCCAACCCTGAGGACCGGGGCACAGGGCCCGGCAAGCCGAGTGGGAGAGGTGACGACACCGGCGGCAGCAGCCACGCAGGGCTGACCCAGCACAGCCTCTGTGCTCCCTACGGACTTCACGAAGTCCATTACTCAGAGCGGGGAACGAAGGCACGGAGGGTCAGGTCACCTGTCCACGGCCACACAGGACCTGGACCTCAGACTGTCCGGGTCCAGGTGCAGCACTCTCACTGCTCCCCTGTGCTGCCTCTCAGCACACAGGAGCTGTTCCGGAAGCCCCACCCCCTTCGCATCCCTCAGCCCTCCTCCTGGCCTTCTTCGCTGCCCACCCCCACCCCTTTCCAGCCCACCCTTCAAACAAACCCCTTGTGTCTCTGGCCTCTGCAAACCGCCTTCAATTTGGTCATTTTCCTCCCTTTTCGTGAACTTAAACTTCTCTGTCCGTCTCTCCTTTGGTTTGGTTTCCACCATTCCATTCCTATGGGGGCCCCCAGGCCTCTGCCCCATCCCTACTTCTCCAAAAGCCTTCCTCGCCCTCTACGGCCTAGTTCAGCTTCAAATGCTTGGCGGGGGCAGGCGTCTGGTGCAGCTCAGGAGGCTTGTACCCCATGTCGGATGGAGCGCCCGGCTCGAGTCCTGGCTCCTCTGCCTCTGATCCAGCTTCCCGCCAACGTGCACCCTGGGAGGCGGCAGGTGGTGGATCAAATATCTGGGCCCTGCCACTCATGTGGGAGACCAGGATGGAGTTCCAGGCTCCTGGCTTCAGCCTGGCCCAACCCTGACTTGTGAGCACGTTAGGAACGAAACAACAGATGGAACGTCTCTCTCTGTCTCTCGAATAAAATTAAACCAGCAAAACTTAAAAATCGCTTTGCGTTCCTCCTACCCCTGCAACAGCTGGGGGGAGCCCAGAGCACACAGGGGACCCTCCTCTCATCTCCTCCCGCTGTGACCCTGGCCAGAGCTGTCCAGCACCCCACAGCTTACTTCGGCATGGGCACACCACAGCGGCCGAGGTCGGACTTTTCTCCAGGGGAGAAAACTGAGGTTCAGAGAGCTTCGGTGACAATCCCCAGGTCACACACTAGGAGGGGGCAAAGCGGAGGTGCGACTCCAGCCCAGGTCCCCTCCGCCAGCTATATCCCAGCTGCCCTCGGCTCTGTCCTCGGCCTTCTGCCCATCACAGCCCGACTGGTGCAGCCACCGCCAACATCGTCCCTGAGTCCAGCTCCAGTCCCGCCCCGTCTGGCCTGGCCCGCTGCCCACTGCTCGCCTGACACACAAAAAGCCTGCTGCAGCCAGAAGAGCTGACTCGGCCAAGGTCACACGGCAAGCCAGAGCTGACCTGGAGTCTGGGCCAGGCACACTGCGGGGGTGGGGGCACCTTTGGCCCCAGCAGCTGTGCGGCTGCCAGCCAGCTGGGCCCATCTCTCTCCCGGAGAAGCGCCCATCCTTCCCAGAGAAAGGGCGAGGCAGGGTGGGGGGGAAGGGCCCGCTCCTGAGTGGGACGGGCCAGGCCGGAAGCCGGGTGCCGACAGCTCCCGGGTTTCCTGGCAACTGTCACTGCTCGCCTCCCCCTCCCTTATCTCCGCATCAGGTAATGATCATCATCACACAGCAGGTGTTGGGAGCGCAGCTCTGTATACTTCTCAAAAGCCTCTTTATCTGCTCTCGCCTGGGACTCTCCCCGGAACTGGAGCAGGAGATAAGGCAGTCGCCAGGATCCCCGATTCCCAGCAGGGCAAACTGAGGCTTGGCGAGGTTAAACCACCAACGCCAGGTCAGCCAGGAAGCAGGGATGGGAAGCCAGGCCTTCCGCTGGCTCGGGACTCTGGATGTCATCGCTGGGGTCAGGTCCAGCATGGTGGGGGCAGCTCAATAGACGCCCACCTGGGATGCTTCCCACCCGTGGACCAGGTAGTGGGAAGATCCTGTCTCCCCCAAGCATACACCACGAGGTGGTGCCGCTCCCGGGAGAACCCAGCCTGGCAGGGCACCAGAGGCAGCTCCGCTGTCCTGTGCGTGGGGCTTGGTCCTTCCGTCATCCAGGGATAGCTGCCCTGGAGGGAGGCCCCCGGGGGGGCTGGTCCTGCCACCCTCCCCTTCCTGTCCCACCCCGGTTGCCTGGTCATGGCCTCCGTGCTGGGGGCTGTTTTCCAGACAAGCCTGGCTGCTTTACACAGCTGGTCCCTCGCTCCCTCTGCCTTCCTCTGTGCCTGCTGAACCATGCAGGCACTCAAATTCCACTGAAACAGGTATCTCCGGTGGCTGGGGCAGGTGACCTGTGACCACCAAGGTGGGGCGGTGAGAGGGAGCGGGGGGGGGGGGGGAGGTGGGAGGGGGATCAAGCACACTCTGGCCGGGAGGGCAGAGGAGAGGAGAGCTGCAGCAGTGAACACAGAGGCTTTGATGGGGGCTGGCCCAGGACAGGGGCCAGAGGGTTCAGGTTCCCTGGAGGTCAGGAGACGGGGGCCCGGGGCCAGGTGCCCCGACAGATCCTACCCATCTGGCAAGTCACGGGGATGGGCAGAGACCTCAAAGTGAGAAGGGGGCTTGCGAGGCCCACTCCTAGCCTGCCCACCCCCAGGATGCTAGAATGCGGGTCTCCTGCCATCATGGATGTCAGGTGTGAGCCCAGCAGTGGCCCCGGAACTGCCCCTCCCAGGGGGTCACAGAGGCCCATTGTTTCCTGAGCTCACCCACCTGGCACCGGCCTTCCCCCTCACTTGCCCCTGCCCCTGCCAAGGTGCCAGGGCAGGTGGCCAGGGGAAGCCAGGTGAGCAGGTTTCCAGACCGGGGCCTGGCTCTCTGGCCCCCTTCTCCCCAGGCCCACAGGGGGCATGTGTGAGGGGGTGGGGAGTTGAGCACAGTGCTGTGACGTCACTAATCCTTGCAGCAACAGCCCGAGAGGGCAGCTGCTGTCTTCATCCCATTTCAGGGACATGGAAACCAAGGCTCAGTGGAGTTTCCAGGTGGGGCGCTCACGTCTACCAGGGGCCGAGAGCCGGAGGGGTCCCCCTGGGTGCAGGGGAGCGGGGGCCTCGGGCTCCATGTTGGGCGTGGGGTGGGGCAAGCAGGAAGGTGGCCTGTGGGGCCCTGGCCCTGGCCCATGCTGGCCGAGCGCCGAGACACCCGGATCCCGGAGCTGGGCCAGGCAGCGGCCTCTTGAGCAAACAAGGAGCTGGCAGCCCAGAGGGGAGGCCACAGGACGCACCCTGCCCGGGCGCAGCACCCACCTGCTGCCTGCCCAGGTGGCCCAAGTCTGCCCTGACCCCACTGCCCTGAGGACTTCACCGTGTCCTGACTCCTCGCCCGCACCCAGAGCCGGCGGAGTGAATCCGAGTGGGCCCAGCCCTGGGCCTCTGGCCGCCAGGGATCCTCAGCACGGAACTCTGCAGCTGTCTTCACTACAGGCCCCTCACCAGCCACCCAAGGGGCAGGAGGCAGGGACGTGCTCGCCGTCCACACAGAGAGCAGCTGGCCCGAGGCCCCGCCCCAAGGCTCAGCCCTGCCGCCCCGTCCCTCTGCCGGGCGTGCCACGCGCTGCCCCGCCCTCAGCACCCAGGGCCCACAGGCCACACGGGGGGACAACGGGCGCCTCCCTGACCTCTGCAGCCCAGGGGGTCCCCTTCTCCGGCGCCACACATTCCTCCGCTCACTCACTCACACAGTCCCCGCCCCGGGGGCCCCCGCGCCTGCCCTTCATTCCTACGCCCAGTCATTCATTCAGGACGCCGACGCCAACCCTGGCCCGACAATGGTGCTGGGTGTTGGCATCCGAGTTGGGGGAGGCAGGCTCACGGGGGCAGGGCCTAGTGACACTGCCCGGGATGCTCCTCTGGCCACATTGCCCAGACCTTGGAGTCCCCAGCGCTGGGCCCGGTTTCATGCAGCCTGCCGGCTCTGACTGAGCTACTGGACAGAGCCCCTGCCTCTCAGGGCTCCCTGCGCGGGATGGCCACCCTGGCCCAGGCGAGACCCCCACAGCGACGGCCAGGCCACCACCCCTAACCGAAGCCAAGTCCTGGCTCGGCCTCTGAATCTCTGCATGCAGGATCAAGCCGCAGTTTCTCCACCGGAAATTGGATCTCTGGCTGGATGGCCCTGAGGCCCAGCTCTGCCATCCCAGGGAGGGCTGCTGGGAGGGAGGGAAACAGAACTCAGGCCACAGGAACTAGGAGAAAGTGGAACCTGGAGGAGGGCTTTTCCCAGAGGAAGGGCCTGAGACTCCTCCAAGTCGCTGTCCTCCGAGCCTCAGTGTTCTCATCTGCAAAATGGGATGGGAACGCCTGCGTTGTAGGGTTGTTGCACGGGCTAAGTTAGATACTACATGTATACTCTGACTAGCCCAGAGCTGAGTATACAATAGGTGCTCAGTAAGTCACAAGTTCCCGCCTGGAGAGACAGCCCTAAGACAGTCAGGTTTCGCTTCTGGAGGGAGACTGTCTGAGCCTGAATCCTAACTCGGCTGCTGAGTGACTTGGGGCAAGTTAGCTAACCTTCCTCAGCCTCAGTGTTTTCATCCATAAAATGGGATCATTGCAAGCCTCTGGCCTAGTGTCAAGACGCCCGCATCCCTCATTAGAGTGCCTCGGCTTGATGCCCACTCTGGCTCCTGACCCTGGCGTCCTGCTAATGCGGATCCTGGGAGGCAGCCGTGACAGCTCGAGTAGTGGGGTTCCTTCTCCCACGTGGGGACCCTCACTGGGTTCCCAGTGCTTGGCTTTACCATGGCTGGGAGCTGCTGAGGGCATCTGGGGAAGACCCAGCAGGTGCAAGTACTCGCTCGTTTGCTCTAAAAAAAAACCACAAAGGTGGGGGGGGCCAACAGCGGCGCAGCCTGGCAAGGTTACCGCGAGGATTAAATGAGTCCTACTACAAAGTGCACGGCAAACATTAACCACGGCTGTTTCCTGGCCTTGCCTTCCCTTCCTGCTCGGGCCCTTCCTCCGTGGGCTCTGGAGGGCCGAGCAGGGCGCACAGGTGGAGGCGCTGGGCAGGCGGACTTCAGTCCACCCCAGGAAGCAGTGGGATCCGCAGAGCCGCCCAGGAGGAAACCCAGCAGCCGTGTCAGGTACTGAGCGCCCCGTCAGGCAAAGGTAGGGCGAGCCTCCCGCCAGGCGTGCAGCCGGGGAGATCCCGAGGGACGGGGGCAGGGGCTGCGGCCAGGGGACCCCACGTGGGGAATCCTGACAGTGCTAGGACCTCAGTGGCGGAGGCGGAGGCCGTGGGCAAATTCCCACGACTGTGAAGGGAAATGGCCCTTCCCGGAGCACCGGGTGGCAGGGACAGCGCCAGGCCCGGAGGAGCCTGGCCACTCCTATTCCATATTAAAATGTGCACACGCTCTGGTCCGGCAGCTCCTCTTCTAGGCATTTATCCTCCAGAAGTGCTCACACAAAGGCACAAAGAGGAGACCAAGGGCCGCACCCCGCGGCAGGATTTGCAATAGCTACAGTCAGGAAGCCACCTGGTGTTAGAGGCGGGTGATTGACTACGTGGAGGCACCTGTGGGCCGTGGAGTATTACACAGCGAGGACTAAGAAGAGCTTCGTGGGACGCCAAAGGGGGCTTAGGGTGAACAGCGAAGCGGACAAAGCGAGGCGCAGCCCGCAAGCCTCCCTCGTCAACTTCAGCGCTGCGAGTGAAAGCGCCCGGGGCCGCCTCTGAGAAGCAGAACTTCCTTCCCCGGCACGTGTTTTCCTGCATACTTTGGACCTGCATAATGCGCACTTATTATTCTTGTAATTTAAAAATGTCGACGACTTTTAAACACCGAGCGCTCGCTCTGAGTCAGCTGCGAAGCCGCCTCCTTGACCTTTTCCGTCACCATAGCAGGTGTTAGTCACTCCTTGTTCCAGGGAGGAGAAGGTGGCCAGAGAGACTTCCCCACTAGCGGGACGGAGCTGGGCTGGCCCCCAGAGCCACATCTTTCCCCGTTAGGCGTAAGTAACCATCTCCGAGGGTCGGGGAAGAGCAAGGCAGGACGGAAGGGGCCCCGCGGTGGGGCACAGCTCAGCTGTCACGTCCTGGGAGCCAGGCCAGCCGGAGTTCACCGCACAGCGCGCAGCGACAGGGCCATCTACCTCATTTGTAAATGCAAACGCAGGCGCAATCCCAGCTCCAGCTTTGCCCTGAGCTGCCCCTGGCTGGCAGGTGCCAGGCCCCAGCACCGCCCTCGCCCTTGCGGCCTCAGGGTCACCAGCCAGGTGAGCGTGTGCTGGCCCAAGCCCTTCCCTGGAGCTCCGGTAACTTCCTGTGTTCATCAACCTGTTTCTGGGAGAACTGGGGCTTGAAGGTTGCTCGTCACCCTCTCGGGGAGAGCCTGGGGAGAGCTGGGGCGCATGCCTGTGTGGGTGCAGCGAGCAGCCCTGACTGTGGGGCCTCAGCTTCCTCCCTAAGTGCTGTTGACAATTCCTCCCTGCGAGGCTCCTGGGGGAATGCAGCGAGATAAAGCACTCCCCAAGCTAGGCGCCACCTGGCACGTGCACGGGAGGGGCAGGCTCCTGCATGTGCCCGCACGGGCGCACGTGCGTCTGCCGGTGTGGAGGGAGCTGGGGCAGGCCTGGCCGGGCACAGGGTGGGGGTGGGGGTGGGGGTGGCTGGGGGCAGGGGCGGGGCAGCGGCTGGGGGTGAGAATGCGGATGGGAGACCGGCAGGAGCATGAAATGGATGTGGGAGAGGAAGCTCGTGTCTGGGGCGTGCGTGGGTTTGAGCGCGCGCGTGTTCGGATCTGATCACATCACCCACCTGCCTAATGGCTTCCCCCGCCCTCTGCCTGCAGGGTGGGGCCACAGCTGCCTCACGTGGCCCGCGAGGCCCTGCGCCCGCTGTCCCTGACCATACTGCATCCTCTCTCCTCCTCCCCACTGCCCACACCTGCAGTGCCCTGCCTGCTGCACGCCCAGCCTCCTGCCCCCACCCACCCAGAGCCCCTCAGGCGGCAGCGGCTGCCCCCGCCCTCAGCAGCTTCCGGGGCCGATCGTGGGCCTTCCCAGGTTCCTCAGTTGGGCCGAGCTCCCTCGGGTGGGGACTGGGTCCGGGGGCCTGGCACAGACCAGGACAGTGAAGACCCCCCGTGACTCCATGCTCGTGCTGACGCTGTGTGGGGCCAAGCCTACGAGTGTGAGCAGGGAGATGCAGGTGTGCCCGCGCGTGTGCACAGCTCGCCTGTAAGAGGCCATCGCAAAGGCCCTCTGGCCGGGGGCCGGCGCTGTGGCACAGCGGGTTAAGCTGCTGCCTGCGACGCCGGTTCGAGTCCCGGCTGCTCTGCTCCCGATCCAGCTCGCTGCTAATGCACCCGGGAAGGCAGCAGCAGATGACCCCTGCCAACCACACAGGGAGACCTGGATGACTTTCTGGCTCCGGTTCAGCCTGGCCCAGTCTCGGCCATTTGGAGAGTGAACCAGCAGATGCAAGACCTCTGGCTCTGTCTCACCCTCTCTCTCTGATGCTCTGCCTTTCAAATAAGTAAATACATCTTGGCCGGCGCCGCGGCTCACTAGGCTAATCCTCCGCCTAGCGGCGCCAGCACACCGGGTTCTAGTCCCGGTCGGGGCGCCGGATTCTGTCCCGGTTGCCCCTCTTCCAGGCCAGCCCTCTGCTGTGGCCCGGGAGGGCAGTGGAGGATGGCCCAGGTGCTTGGGCCCTGCACCCCATGGGAGACCAGGAAAAGCACCTGGCTCCTGGCTCCTGCCATCGGATCAGCGCGGTGCGCCGGCCGCAGCGGCCATTGGAGGGTGAACCAACGGCAAAGGAAGACCTTTCTCTCTGTTTCTCTCTCTCACTGTCCACTCTGCCTGTCAAAAATAAAAAATAAAAAAAAAATTAAAAATAAGTAAATACATCTTTAAAAAAGGAAAAAAAGGCAGCAGCTCTGGCCCGGGAGTGGGCTGGGAGATGCCGAGGCCTTCTGGGGTCAGGGCCCTGGTGCTGGGGAGGAGGGAGAGTGGGCCTAGGTCTGGGCCTCCACTCCACGCCCACCTAAAGCAGTGAGGCCCAGGTCTCGGTGCCAGACCAGCAGCCCCTCTGGGCAGTGGGGCCAGCCTGGTGAGCTCTGTCCACACCTGGCCGTGCCCTGCGTGGGCTCCACCCCTGCCTGCACCAACAGCTCGGAGGCCCAGGCTTCTGCTCGCACCGCCCAGCTCCCGTGAGGCCCAGCCCCAGCCTGGTCTCGCATGCCTGCCCACAACGGCCCCTGCACCAGGCCTGCCCCACGGGCAGCAAAGGCAGGCTTCCAACCCCCACCTTCTCAGCCACCTCCACTGGCTGCTGGGAGAATGTTCTGGAAAGTTCCAGGTTGACAGTGGAGGAAGGTATCCCATTCCTGCTCCAATCCTCGACGCTAACTCTGGCTATGCCAGACTGCCCCTGCCCAAGCCAGCCCCTCCCCTTGGCCCAGCCCCGTCACTCTGCCCGTCACCCACCTGTCCCACAGAAACTTCTGCAAGTGCTGCGTGACCGTGGCAGCCAGCCCCCTGCTCTACCCCCAGGTCTTGGCCCAACACCTGGCCATGAGGGGTAAGTGCCTGCTGGATGGATGAGCACATCAGGGGAGCCTTGAAGGGACCCCGTGGGGTGAAACTTGTCCCAGTTTACAGGCAAGGAGACTGAGGTTCAGAGAGGTGAAGTGTCTAGTCCCAGGTCACACAGCCAAGAGCAGACCGCATCCAACGTAGGGACAATTCGACTCTCCCAGACCCTCAGTGCCTTAGGGGACATCCTGGCTGAACTTCCCACTTCATAGTTACGTCGTCGTGGGCCTCAGGGAGGGAGACCGACCTCTCCTGAGTCATCCTAGCTCCCCGTGCTTTTAAAATACCTTTAAAGGCACCTCCTCCGGCCTCTCGCTCACCTGGGGTGGGAGCTGCTGATACCCTGCAGGCACAAGGGAGGAACCAGGCTCAACGGCAAGGACTGCCCAAGGTCACCATCCAGCCCGGCCAGCGCCAGCGCCAGCGTCCCCAGGGCGAGTCAAGGCCAAGGCCGCAGCTGGGCGTGTGTGCAGGTGGAGGCCGGCCGCACCTCCGGGCAGGCCACAGGGCCGCTGGGCACCCTGTGCGGGCCCGGCGTGCAGCAGGTGTCGGCGTCCGAGGGGCCCCGCTCTGGGTCAGGCCCTGGCAGCCTGAAGGTCATTTAATCCCCGCAACAGTCTCAGATGCAGCAGGGTGTTCGCCCTCATTTTATAGGCGAGGACACAGCGCGCAGGGGCCTGACTCCCTCACCCACCAGCTGCGGCCGAGGCAGCACCGCGGCGCCAGGGCCGGGGCCGGGGCCGGGGCCGGGGCTGGGGCCGGGGCGTCCCCGGGGCAGCGCGGGCCTCGTGGATGCTGGGGCTCAGACTCCGTGTCATGGAGCAGCTCCGGGAGCCAGGAGGGGAGAGGCCGATCGGGGGCCCTCTCTGCCCGTGGCGGCTGGGGGTTCAGAGCTCTCCGGGGCTGGCAGGGACACGACTTGGTAACTGCTTCCCCTGCCAGGCCCAACTCAGCCCTGTGCCAGGCATGTGCCACCACCTGCTTTCCTCCCCGACACGGCAAACCCGCGACCTCCTCTCCCTGGGAGTCTCCTGCACTGTACCTCCCTCCTTCACCCACTCCCCCGCCCCACTTGGGCCACTTCAGCCTCTGGATCACCTCCTCCAGGAAGCCCTCCCTGACTTCCAGGTGTGAAGAGGACCTCAGCGATCCCCCGGGTCTCCCCAGTCGGCACTCGCTGCCCTCATTACAGCCTCCTCTGAGTTCCTCTCTGGACTGAGAACCCCATGAGAGGAGAGGCCTGGCCTCCTATCCTTACCACCACATCCCTGAGGGGGGCCTCCCCCACTAGCCACCCATGAATAATTTCCTGAATGAGTGAGGGTCTCGCAGAAGAGCCTGAGCAGACCTGGGACTTTGGGACAGTCCCCTCGTGGCCCCCGGAGGATCCCTCTGTGGACGCATGAGGCCTCTCAGAGGCAAGGACGCAGGGAGGGGCACCTGCTGAGGACGCGCGCCCTGACCCGTCGCATTCTCGGAGATTCTGCCCCCAGGTTACAGACAAGTGAGGCTCAGAGAGGTGCGGCAGCGTGGGAGGGTCACACAGCAGGTCAGCAAAAGGCAGACAGGGCCGGGAACCCGGGGCTCCTTAACCACAACCCCCAAAGGGACGGGACTCTGAGCACCACGGGGACAGAGAGGCCAGCAGGGCCACCTGACTGGGGACCTCGGGGCGGCAAGAAGTCTCTCTGTGGCCGCTGGGGAGCGGGGAGCGGGGTGTGTGAGTGAGACCGGGTCACTTCCCAAGTCACACAGCCAACAGCAGCAGTCCTGGCCCCAAGCCCACCGCGAGGGGGTTTCTCTCATCTCCTGAAGCTACCAAAGACCCTCCCTAAAGAGGGTCTCAGTCTAGGACGTGTCCCCAGAAGGGGATGTCGCTGGCCCCAGAGGAAGACAGGCGGGGACAACGAGGGGGGTGGGGGAGGCCTGGCTGCGCACGAGGTGTGGCTCAGGAATTGCAGAGCTGCAGGGATGTGGCCCGGGCCCTGGGGGAGGCGCAGAGGGGGCACCTGGCTTAGGCAGCTGCTCCACGCGGAATGAGCTGTCCCCAGCTACTCAGCATGAGGTGAGCTACTTCCGAGGAGTGAGCCTCCCGTCCCTGGGAGTGTGCAAGGAGGCCAAGCAAATGTCACAGCACCATCCGCCTAGGGAGGCCGAGCTTCCGGACACCCAGGAAGCCACTGAAAACGGACGGACAACCCAAGGGCCTCCGGTACACACAGAGGGGGCGTGGGTTCTCGTTGACCCTAGGACACGCCATTCCTACCCCAGAGTCTTCGCACCTGCTGCTCCCCTTGCCGGATACCCCTCCCCCCAGCCTACCAGCTCTTCCCAGGGCAGGCGTTGTTCCAACAGCACGTGCTCTGAAAGGCCACGGCGACTCCACTCTCCAGCTGCCCGGGCAGGGTGACAGGCAAACCAGAGGTTTGTTAAGAGACCGTAGCAGGGGGCTCAACCTCTCTCTGCCTCCGTTTCCTCAGCCCTGAGCCAGGGATAACAACAGGGCCCGCCTCCTGGGGTTGGTGGAAGGCCAAGGTCATTGATACGTGCAAGGTGCTCTGGAACGCAGCCCAGCACGCAGTGGTCTCAGCAGGGAGCTCTCGTGAGCGCGTGACCTGCTCCAGACCCGGGCGCGGCCATCACAGTCTGCTTACTCGGTCTGTCTCCTCCGTCCCCATCTCACAGGTGGGCAAATGGAGGCTCCGAGAGCTGAATCCTGGCATACAAGAGGCGCTCAGCGGTTCCTTGTGGCTGAGTGACTAAGTGACCACCGCTCTATAACGCCAAGGCCCTTGTACCTCTGAGAGTCCGCCCAGCCGCCTCTGCTCACCCTGCTCCCAAATGGCTCCGCCCCCAGCTCAACCGAAGGCCCCGTGTCTCCCGGAAGTGGCTGCCAAGGACAGGCAGCCTCCTGAGCTGGGACCAGCGGCCAGGCCCCGGCCTCGGTGGGACTCCCTCCGCCCCAGCTGGGCCAGGGGATGAGGTTGGCGGTGCTGCCTTGGCATTTGCCACAGGAGGTCCCTGCCCAGAGGG